GCAGGAGGCGCAGCAGGAGGAGCTGCAGCCGCCGCCGCAGCCGCAGCAGGAGGAGCTGCAGCCGCCGCCGCCGCCGCAGCAGGAGGAGCTGCAGCCGCTGCCGCCGCCGCAGCAGGAGGAGCTGCAGCCGCTGCCGCCGGCGCCGCCGCTGCGAATTCCGCTCGGAGGAGCGGCGGCGTCGCAGCAGCCGCAGCGTCGCATCTTTCTGGACGACGACGACGAGGAGGAGGAGGCGGAGGAGGGGGAGGAGGCGGGTGCGGCTGAGGCTGCGGACGAGGCCGCATCGCAGCAGCCGCAGCGGCGGATCGTCTTGGGTGAGGGCGAGGATCGATAGGCATTGGTATGGCAGGCTGACGGCGAGGGCGACCCGATGGAAGGTTGTGGTGGCGGCAGCGGGGTGGCAGCGCGATTGTCCGAGGAGCGTGGCGACGGTTGCGACGGGGGCAACCCCTTTGCAGCCTACTCCTTCAGCGCTAGCTCGCAGCCGGCGCAAGGCACGGCGCGCTAGAACCAGAGAATGCGCGTTCTTGTGCCCCACCCTTCCCCTTCTTCTTCTTCTTCTTCCCCTTCTTGCTCTCCCTGGCGCGCCCCGCCTCCTTCTCCGCCTCCTCCTCCGCCAGCAGCGCCTCGGCATGCCGCGCCGCCTCCGCCTCTGCCGCCGCTCTCTCCGCCTCCCTCGCCGCTGGTTGCGCACCCAGCGCTCGGTAGGACACGCACTCAGCTGTATTCGTCTCCCGCTGTACTCGCTGTACCTCGTCTCCCCTCGTGCTCACGCGGTGCTCTGAATGCACTGCACAAGACCGTCTGCCAGCGCTGATGCTGGTCTCTTCGCCGCCCAGGCACGGCACGCGTGTCGCTGGCGGCGGCCCCCGCTGCGCCGCCCGCACCAAGGCCGACCCCCCTCCCTCCTTCGGAAGGGAGGGAGTGGGGTGCAGGTCTGCTCACCCACGCCGCACCGCGCCTTGCCCTTTGAATGCCGTGCCAGCTCCTGCCCGCGCCCTCCGGGGCTATGGGGTCGCGCGGGCCGGCCTGGCCCTTGCCCCACGCACCACTATCTTTGTGTGTGTGGAGACGTCTACCTGACCTGACCTGACCTGACCTGACCTGACCTGACCCGACCCGACCCGACCCGACCTGACCTGACCTGACCTGACCTGACCCGACCTGACCTGACCTGGCCCTTGCCCCACAATTCGTGTGTGGTGTGGTGTGTGTGGAGAAGTTGCCCGAACTTTTCCTCAGGCGAGGGCCGCAGCGCGCCGCCGCCCACCAAGGCCGAGAAGGCGGCGAGCAAGGAGGCTGCCGCGGCGGCCAGGAGGGAGGAGAGGGCCGCACGCAAGGAGGCGCATTTGCAGCATGAGGTGGGCAAGGTGCTGGGGGCGCTGCTGACCAAGGCGGGCGCTGCCGGAGACACACACACACACACACACACACACACACACACAGAGAGAGAGAGAGACAGAGAGAGAGAGAGCTTCGCGGGGCGGGGGGCGGCCAACTTAAAAACAAAAAAAGCGGGGGGGGGGGGGGCAAAAAACACCTCCCCCAAACAAACCCTCTTGGGGGGGGGGGGGGGCCCAACCCCCGGGTTCCAATGGGGGGCCACCAGGGACGTGGCCATGGCCAGGGCCAGGGCCAGGGCCAGGGCCAGGGACAGGGCCAGGGTTAGGGAGATCCCCGGGTCCTTTTTGGTTTGAGCGGCTCCCTCCCCGGGGGGGGGGGCCCACCCGGAGGGGGGTGCCCTTCCCGGAGTTTTTTTCCCACCGCCACCCCCAAAGCCTTACTTTGGGGGATGTTTTGGGGGGGGGGATTCTTAAGCCCGCCCTTGGTTCCCCTTTGGAGGCCCCCCCCAAAAACCCCCCCCCCCCCCCGCCGCCGCCTTCCCAAGGGAGCGAGGCCCGTGTATTCAATCGGAGTGCACGTGCGTGAGCCGTCGGAGGCCGAGGCGGCGGTGCTTGGAGCTCTGGAGCGGCTTCGCAAGGCTGGCGTGGATGCGGAGGAGAGGCGGCCTAGAAGCGGAGTATCTCCCAAAATCTCCGTATCTCCCGGTATCTCGTGCCCACGAAGCGGAGTATCTCCCCATATCTCCCCGTATCTCCCCGTATCTCATGTCCACGAAGCGGAGTATCTCCCCATATCTCCCCGTATCTCCTCGTATCTCGTGCCCTAGAAGCGGAGTATCTCCCCATAACTCCCCGTATCTCCTCGTATCGCGTGCCCTAGAAGCGGAGTATCTCCCCATATCTCCCCGTATCTCCCCGTATCTCGTGCCCACGAAGCGGAGTGTCTCCCCATATCTCCCCGTATCTCCCCGTATCTCATGTCCACGAAGCGGAGTATCTCCCCATATCTCCCCGTATCTCCTCGTATCTCGTGCCCTAGAAGCGGAGTATCTCCCCATATCTCCCCGTATCTCCCCGTATCTCGTGCCCACGAAGCGGAGTATCTCCCCATATCTCCCCGTATCTCCCCGTATCTCGTGCTCACGAAGCGGAGTGTCTCCCCATATCTCCCCGTATCTCCCCGTATCTCGTGCCCTAGAAGCGGAGGAGACGTGTTCATGCCTTCCAACCAGCGCTCGAGAGGGCACGTCCTCCGCTGCACTCGGCCGTACCCGGCTGCACTCCCTGTCCTCGTACCAAGGTAGCGCCGTGTATTCCATCGGTGCTGCGAGTCTACGCGGCACGAGACTGCACTCCCGCCCCTGGCACTCTCGCTGCACTCCTCGTACTCCCACCCCTGGACCTCTGTGCATTCCTGACGTACTACTACCCCTGACCCTCTGTGCATTCCTGACGCACTATGACCCCTGGACCTCTGTGCATTCCTGACGTACTATGACCCCTGACCCTCTGTGCATTCCTGACGTACTACTACCCCTGACCCTCTGTGCATTCCTGACGTACTATGACCCCTTCACCTCTGTGCATTCCTGACGTACTACTACCCCTGACCCTCTGTGCATTCCTGACGTACTATGACCCCTGACCCTCTGTGCATTCCTGACGTACTACTACCCCTGACCCTCTGTGCATTCCTGACGTAGGAGCGGGTGCACGGCTGGACGCTGCGGCTGAAGCAGCGCCCTGTCGACGAGGACGGCCGGGCCAGGGGCGGCGTCAGGTGCGGCGGCTCGAGATGCGGGGAGATGCGGGGAGATGCGGGGAGGTGCGGGGAGAAGCGGGAGAAGCGGGGAGAAGCGGGGAGAGGCGGGGAGAAGCGGGGAGGAGCGGGGAGGTGCGGGGAGGTGCGGGGAGGTGCGGGGAGGTGCGGGGAGGTGCGGGGAGGTGCGGGGAGGTGCGGGGAGGTGCGGGGAGGTGCGGGGAGGTGCGGGGAGGTGCGGGGAGGTGCGGGGAGGTGCGGGGAGGTGCGGGGAGGTGCGGGGAGGTGCGGGGAGGTGCGGGGAGGTGCGGGGAGGTGCGGGGAGGTGCGGGGAGGTGCGGGGAGGTGCGGGGAGGTGCGGGGAGGTGCGGGGAGGTGCGAGGAGGTGCGGGGAGGTGCATGTGGGGAGGTGTGGGGAGGTGCGGGGAGACATCTTGCCCTCGGCGCCAGGTTTGACATCTGCGTGGTCCCGCCCGCGTCGCGGCTCAAGCTGGCGTCGGTCATCGGCGTCAAGAGGCTCATGCACCCCCCTCCCCCAACACCGCGCCGCACACACGTACACACGCACACACGCACACACGCACACACGCACACACGTACACACACACATGCACGCACGCACGCACGCACACACACACACACACACACACACACACACACACACACACACACACACACACACACACACACACACCGCTCACCCACGCGCACCGGGCCTTGCGCTTTGTCTGCCGTGGGGCTCCTGTCGTTTGGACGTGGAGTCGCGACGAGGGCTTGCCTGCCCCCCCCCACCACCTATTTATTTTTTTTTGTTTTATTTTTTATGTTTGTTTTTGTTCTTAGTGTCTCTATGTGTTTTTACTTTTCATTTTGTAATTTTTTATTTTTTATCTTTTTTTCCTTTGGTTCTGATCTAGCTGTGCCTCTTTTGTGTTTGTGCGCTA